TGATGCTGCTTGGCCTGCTGTGTTCATCCAGCTCTACGTCCTGTTATCTCAGATTCTCCAGCATCAACAATCCCCACTATCTCTGAATCAGTATTGAAAGTGAGTTAAGTTGCCTTGGATTTTCCTCCATAATCTGCACCCAGCAGCATCCAAATGCCCAACTCCTGATCAATCCTGTGGTTTTGCCAACCTGTGATTGAATAGCCGCATCTTGCCTCGCTGAAGGTGGGTCAAACCTTCAGTTATCACTTCACGGAGTTCATGGCCTCAGCCTTGCTGGGGCAAAGTAGTGAGACTGCTCCTACTGGCCAGCTCATAGTACAGTCAGAAATAGCAAGAACTGCAGATGCTGGAGTCAGAGTTGATACGGTGTGGAGCAGGAGGAACACAGCAGGCCAGGTAGCATCAGAGGAGCAGGAAAGTCGATGCTTCAGGCCCAGATTCTTCATGCAGTCCTGATGAAGGGTCTAGGCCCGAAGTGTTGACTTTCCTGCTCCTCTGATGCTGCCTGACGTGCTGTGTTCCTCCAGCTCCACACTCCATAGACTCTAGCTCATAGTACAGTTGGGTTCAAAAGCAGGGGACCACTGTTAGCGGGGGTGTAATGGACCAAACTACCTTGTGCTATGCTGTATCATTCTCTAATTCAGAACCTCCCACCAAATAAGATACATTTTCTGTCATTAGGTTTAAATGGCAATTCTTGCCTCACTCTTTGCTCTGCTTGGTCCAGTTTTCAAATGACTCATTTCATCATAGAATCCCTACAGTGTGGAAACAGACCCTTCGGCCCAACAAGTCCACACCGACTCTTGGAGCATCCCACCCAGACCCATTCCTCTATAACCCACCTAATCTACACATCCCTCAACACTACAGGCAATTTAGCATAGCCAATCCACATAGCGTCCACATCATTGGGCTGTGGGAGGAAACCAGACCACCCGGAGGAAACCCACACAGACGCTGGGAGAATGTGCAAACTCCACACAGACAGTCACACGAGGGTAGAATCGAACCCAGGTCCCTGGCGCTGAGGCAGCAGCGCTAACCACTGAGCCACCATGCCAGTTCAGATTCTATTGTGTTGTGAGACAAAAATTAGACAAGGTTGGTTTAACAGCACATTGAAAAGCTGAAGATTATTAGTTTCTAGAAATTGGGTCTTTCTGCCTTTGGTAAACTTTAATGATCTCCACCAGCCCTTACACTTGCTTTTTTTTCTTCCATTCTATTTCACTCCAGTTCCTCCCATAATTCATGTGCCCAAGAGCTCAGCAAAAGCTATAGCAGATCGCCAGGAGTCTGTGACATTGACGTGTACTGCGACTGGCTCTCCAGAGCCCAACATCACCTGGTACAGGTAAGGGGCAAGGGCAGGATCACCAAACCTTCAGATTTGCACTGGATCCTTGATGAATAGTAGATTAATTTCCCCAGTGACAAAACCAGAAGAAAAGGAAAATCAAATCACTGTCATGGCAAAAGTCAGGGACTTGGTCAAGCATGTACACAGGTAGGATTATTGTAGATAGGACAGCACAGAATTGATGGCATAAAAGGCCTCTTCTGTACTGTATGACAGTATGCCAAGTCTTTGAAAGTAGCTGGACAAATTTAAAGGCTTGATTCAAAGACATACATTTTTAATTGCTTCTTCCATCAAGGTGAGAGTAAGAAAGCAAACCAGTAAGGAGGCATCATCAAGGTCCTGGCTGTGGCATCAGCTAATTTTGGATGCACACTTTAGCAAGGATGTTAAGGTTTAGGGAGATTGTGGAGGAAATTTAGAGTCATAGAGTATTGTACAGCACTGAAACAGACCCTTTGATTCAACTCTTCAGTGTCAACCAAATATCCTAAACAAATCTAGTCCCATTTGCCAGCATTTGGCCCATATCCCTCTAAACCAATCCTATTCATAGGAAGGGTCACCAGACCCTAAACGTTAACTCTGTTTTCTCCTTCATAGATGCTGCCAGACCTGCTGAGCTTTTCCAGCAACTTTGTTTTTGTTCCTATTCACATACCCACCCACATGCCTTTTAAATGTTTTACTTGTACCAATCTCCACCACTTCCTCTGGCAGCTCATGCCATACACACACCACCCTCTGCATGCCATCTGTTTTGGACTCCCCTACCCTGGGAAAAAGACCTTGGCTGTTTACCCTAACCATGACCCACGTAATTTTATAAACCTCCATAAGGTCACCCCACAGCCTCTGACACTCGAGAATATAGCCCCAGCCTATTCAGCCTCTCCCTATAGCTCAAACCCTCCAATTCTGGCAACATTCTTGTCAATCTTTTCTTCACTCTTTCAAGTTTAAAAACACTTTTCCGATGGCAGGGAGAACAGAATTGAACACAGTATTCCAAAAGTGGCCTAACCACCAATGTCCTGTACCATCGTAACATGATATGCCAACTCCTACTCTCACTGAACAATAACGACAAGCGTACCACTACCTTCTTCACTACCCTGTTTACCTGTGAGTCCACCTTCAAGGAACTATGAACCTGCACCTCAAGGTCTCTTTGTTTGGCAACACTCCCCAGGACTCTATTATTAAGTGTATAAGTCCTGCCTTTCCAAAATGTAGCACCTCACATATATCTAAATTAAACTCCATCTGCCACTCCTCAGCCCTTGATAGAATCATATAAGGGTTGAAACATGCAATGAAGTGGAGTTTAGAAAAACCAAGGTTAGTCTGCTTAGAGTAGGGAAATTTTGATGAGCTAAATACAGAAGAAACTTTTCTTTTTCCAATTGGGTCAGCTCGTAAATATGAGACACAAAGCTAAGGAGGAAGCCTAAGAAAGAATAGATCTTACACTGTGAGTTGTTTTGAGGTGGAATGCATTATCTGAAAGGGAGTTGGAACCAGATTCAGTAAAAAGGGAATTGCCTGTCTACTTGAAAGGAGAGAACTTTGCAGTGCTGTGTGAAAAGAGCTAGCTCAGTCACAAAGGGATAAACTGCCCTCTTCTGTTCTGTATTCTTTTGTAATTTGAACAATAGTTTTATGTAAATGATGCTTTGTGAATTCTAACTCCTGTTTTGTTTTGTTATATTTTAAACAGTACGTTTCTGATCAGTTACAGTCTGTGTTCATATTTTATCAATGGAAATAAAATGCAATTTTCACAATCTCACGATGTCTCAAAGTAATGACAATCAAGGAATAACCAGGCAGCAATTCTTACACAGAAAGATTCCATAATTACCAAGGGATGCAGATAAAATATTGAAGGATAAATGTTGGCCAGAGCACGAATAAAATTCTCCTGCTCTTCTTCAAAAAGTTCAATATCTCATGCTAAAGACAGTGCTTCTGACACTGTGAAGCCTTTCCTTAGTTCCGATTTGAGGTGCAAGCATGAATTAAAGCCCTGAACTTGAACACACAACTGCCCAGAAAAGTCAAGGTGCTGTCACTGAACCATGACTGACACGAGGGAGAGAGGATATAAATGGCATGCTGATGTTACTGACACTGTCGAGAGTTCTCAAGTTAACCTCTGTGTATTTAATAACTGCTGCCCCTTGAAGTACTGCCAGATAGGGTATTACACACCTGCAGCCTTTACAGAACCTGTCTCTTCATGCACATGTGTTTATAAGGAAGTTTCCCTGGGCTTTAGATAACAGGTGTGGTATAATCAGTCTTTTCTCAACAAATGTACGTTATTCCTTCAGTTTCGCTGTGTCAAAATCCTGGAACGTCATTATGAAGAGCATGATGGGAGTACTAATCCCCAGGGACTACAGCAGTTGAAGAATGAGCTCACCACCCCTTTCCCATGACAATCAGTGTTGGGCAACAAATGCTGGTTGTAGCCAGACACACCCACATCCTGAGAACAAATAATAAAAAAGATTTGCATGTTTTTATTTTCCAATGTGCACCCCCCTCATTGAAATCACAACATAATAGATGATTTCAACATGACAGGGCTTTAACATGAAGCTGAATCCAAAACCACTTCATAATCCAGTGAAGGAGATAGTGGGTTGACGCTGGTATTTAATAAAACTGAATTGAATGACGGATCATTCTGATGCTTAGGCACAAAAATTTAACGTCAAAGAAAGGAACGTGTAACATCTTTTCTATGTAACACAGTTGACTAAATTAACTCTACATCTATGGTTTATGTAACAGGATGAAAAGGATGAAGTGCAAACATATAAAGCAAAACAGATGTCAATTATAATTGTACATGGATTATACCTTATAGCTTGAGCATGCCTTTCCACTCGGATAAATATACAACTGTGCAGTCGGATTAATAAACATGTCATCTAAAGCCCAGAGACGACACCTTATAATAGTATGTGCTTGAAGAAGTAGGTTCACAAGCTGCAGGAGTGTGTGTGCTATAACTAGGAATGTTCCGCATGTCAGTTTTCCAGCCTTGTCAGGATTTTTAAATTGACAGCGCACCCGCACACGAAAAGCACAGCTGAAGGACGTGCAAAGTTTTTGCTCATAAGCTTCCCTCTGATTCTATGACGCCTCTGACTGGATTGTGGTGCCATCGGATTGATTACTTCTCCCAAGTGCTCCTTGTACAAATGTTCACATTGGCAGTGAATGTTAGCAGGCTACACAACTATCAGAGCCATCGCAGATCAGCTCGAGCGTGTTGCTACCTGAAATATAAATGTTCTTTGCAACAAGGCAGTGAGAAATAGTTTAGTTAAGATCAGTGATCAGCATCTTCAGTCATTCAATTCAATTGTCAACAATTCAATTGATTCAGATCAGTAATTGATATGTTAATTCATGCATGTCAGTATTTAAAACTTTAATTGGCTCATATCAATAATTTGTACTTCCATTGATTTATATCAGTAATGAACAGTAATCCACAATACCAATGAACATCATTTGATTCTCCAACCGGAGTGTGCTGAGCGCATGGAAATCTCCACTACAGAAAGCAATTGAGGCCAAAACATTGGAATTTTTAAAAAGGAGTTAGATATAGTTCTTAGAGCTAAAGGGATCTAAAGGTATGGAGGGAAATTGGGAACATGTTACTGAGTTGGATGATCAGCCATGATCATCCTGACAAGGTCAGAAATCACGCGACACCAGGTTATAGTCAAACAGGTTTATTTGAAAGCGCAAGCTTTCGGAGCCTCGTTCCTGCTTTAGGTGTTGGCATATTGAATGGTGGAGCAGGGCTGAATGGCCTACTATAAGTCCCATTTTCTGTTTTTTGAAGATTTGATCAATAATTGACACTTTATTTGATTCATCGGTAAATGGTATTTTGATTTAGATCAGTAAAGTTAATTCATTTGATATTTTAGTTCATTACATAAGCATGTAGAATTAAAGTGCATGTGATTGTGGATAGTGTACTGACATGAGTAGAGAACTAGTTTACAGACAGGAAGCAAAGACAGAACAGATGCGTGTCTTTCCAAGTGGTAGTCACTGAATAGCTGGGGTCTCAGCACTAATCCCTGTGGCACCCCACTAGCTGAGTGGGAGGGTGAGCTGTGAGGAGGATGCAAAGATGCTTCAGTGTGACTTGGTCAATCTGACTGAGTGAGCAAATGCATGACAGATGAAGTATAATGTGGATAAATGTGAGGTGAGCACTTTGGGAGCAATAAACAGGAAGGCAGATTATTATCTTAATTATGATAGATTAGGAGAGGGTGAGGTGCAATGATATCTGAGTGTCCTTGTAGAGCAGTTGCTAAAAGTAAGCATACAGGTTCAGCAGGCAGTGAAGAAGGCAAACAGCATTTTGGCCTTCATAGTGAGAGCTTTTGGAGCAAGTATGTCTTGTTGCAATTTATATGGCCTTGGTGACACAGCACCTGAGGTATTTTGTGCAGTTTTGTTCTCCTTATCCGAGGAAGGATCCTTTGGTTATGCAAGGAGTGCAACAAACATTCACTAGGCTGATTCCTGGGATGACAGGACTGACGCATGAAGAATGGTTGGATCAGTTAGGACTATTTTCACTTTGTTTTAGACAAAAGAGAGGTGATCTCATAGTAACCCATAACATTCTGTCAGGACTAGACAGGAAAATGCTGGGTACTCTCAATGATCAGGGCATCCAGAAGTGGGAATCTGGAGTGAAAGAATTTGGTGCAGTCCATTTCGGACTGAGATGGGGATAATTTCTTTCACACATTGGTGAGTCTGTGGAATTCTCTGCCAAAACCTTTAAGAAGAAACTAAATACAGTTCTTTGTGCTAAAGGGACTAAGGGGTATGGGGAGGCAGAGGAAACAGGATATTCAGTTGAATGATCAGCCATGGTCATATCAAATGGCAGAGCAGACTCAAAGGGCTGATGGCCTACTCCTGTTCCTACTTTTTATGTTTCTATTTTCTAAAACGTGTGGTGATGGATTACTTTAATTGTAACCATAATTAACATGTTAAGTTCTCTTTGCAACATAGTGGAACCGCCCTCAACAGATTCCATAATTATTTAACAATGTGTAAGCAAATATTACTGTCGCCTCCCAGCACAAACCCATCCTAACGACTCTCCCAGACTATTCATTATCCTAGCAGCTTATTTGATTCACATTTCAGCCTTAACCTTTTTGCTGTTGAAACTTTCCTCTGTACTTTTGCTATCTCCAGATTTGACAATTTCAATACATACCCAACGGGCTAGCCCACCTTGTACCCTCTAGAAACTTGGGTGCATTCATAAATCTACTGGCTGTATTTTATCTCACAAAAAGATTGACAATCCCTATGCTTATGACTTACAATGATTCCCAGTACATCAGTATCTCAATATAAGGTTTCTTAATCTTATTTACAAATCCCTTCCAACTTATACATGACCTCCCCTGCAATCCTTTGGGATCTCTGTCACTCCATTGCTAACATTTACCCCACTGTTCATTTCACTTCATCTATGATGGTGATACCTCTGGTCTCCTAGTTTCTAAGCTCTAAAAATTCTCTCAGAACTCTTTCCCTTTTCACTGATAAATTCCCCTTTAAAAACTGTCCTGTGAAACCTAGCATTTTTTTTAACCAAACGCTTGGTTACTCCTCTTCATATCTCTTTCTTTGGCTTGGTGTTAAATTTGTGTAGGGCCTTGGGTCATATTCCTATGATAAAAGGTGCACAAACACAAGTTTCTGGTTTTTTCTTACTATTTTCGAAACAAAAACAGTTAATCCTTTTGTTAAAGTGGGAAGGGAATTTCATGTGAACCAGTTATTCTGTTCCTAATTCACAGAACAATTTCAGACTTTATTTGTGCAGATTACCCCCTTTGGTAACAGCCTGTCACTGGCTGCATTGTCCTAGCGAAGATCAGCCTTTGAACAAAAACACCTACCAGAGGCTGCTTCAGAGCAATCATCTGAAAGCATATAATAAAAAACAAAAAGAAAATATTGGAAAGGCTGTAAAATTGAGATAAATATACAAAAGTGCCAGAATGAAATGACAAGTCAAGCAACATCGGTGTCTGAATCAAATGCTTCTTTGCTCTTTCAGGTACTGATTGGCATTATAATGTTAGAAATTGTTGAGCCTTTGCTTAATAGAGGCAATTCCATAATTGCAGTAGGCAGGAGACTGGTGCAAAGGGAGGGGAGCCAGTAGTCAGAATAAATGCCACATAAACATCATGCTACTGGGTGGCTGCCTAATATTAGAGACAATGGGTTTGGTTAAACTATAAGGTCTACATGGGAATATGCATCCTTTTATTCCTGCAGTAGTGAACTTCCACACTTTCGTCTTGCAGAGACGGGATACTCATTGAAGACAATGATAAGTATGGGTTGAAGAGAAGCACGGAGCTGACGATAAGAAACATTGCCCGGGAAGACACTGGGGCTTACATCTGCAGGGCAACAAATAAAGCAGGAACTGTGGAAGAACAGTTGTCAGTAAAAGTCTTCGGTATGTCCTCCATTTGCGTTATTGTGTTGTTACTGATGATTAGTGAAGCATGCCACATTTCTGTACCGTGTATTCCTTTCTCCTCTGGTTTACTCTTGTGAGACAGTCACGAACAAGAAGTCATAGAGATAGTGTGTGAGAGGAAGTAGGTTCAAAACCCACTCCTAATTCCTATGTTGTTATGTTCAATGTTCCTGTGCTATTGAAGCCTAGTCCATGCAGGAGAATCATTCTACAGCGACTCCTCAGATACTAAGACAGTCCATGTCCAAATGCAGCAGTACATGTCCAAAAGGCCTGGACAATATCCAGGTTTTTGCTGAAAAGTGGCAAGTAATATTTGCATGGCACAAATGCCAGACAATGATCGTCTCCAATGAGAGGCAATCTAACCACCTCTCCTTGACATTCAATGGCATTAGCATCACTGTATCCCCCACTATCAACATCCTGGAGGTTACCATCAAGCGTAATCTGATCTTCACTAGCCATGTAAATCTGATGGCTGCAAGAACAGGTCACACGCTAAGAATACTGCAGCAAGTAACTCTGTTCCTGACTCCCCAAAGCCTGTTCACCACCAATAAGACACAAGTCAGGAGTGTGATGGAATACTCCCCACTTGCCTGGATGAGTGCAGCTCTAACACTCGAAGTTTTACACCATCCAGGACAAAGCAGCTCATTTGATTGGTACTGCATCCACTCCTTCCGCCACCTAAGGCAGAAGCTCTACAGTAATCCCACAATATTCCCTACAGGCTATTGACTGTAATTACATGGATACATAATAACATTGCATCAGTGTTGTTGGGTCACAATCCTGGAATCCCCTCCCTATGTGTCAATCTACAGCACATGGACTGCAGCAGTTAACTACCACCTTCTGAAGGTCAGCTGGAATGGGCAATAAATGGTGGTCCAGCCAGCAATGCCCATGTCCCAACAGTGAATAAGGATAGTCTTCACCACTCGCTGTATACTTCTTTATCAGGTGGCCTCAAAAGGTACTTGCTGGCAAGGTGGGCTGGAAAGGCCATTGTAATTAGATCATGCCTTTCAGGAAAGATTGAACAGACTAATTCTTTGCTCTAGAAAATGCAAGGTTGTCAGGTGACCTGGCTAATGGAGGTCTTTAAACTTATCATTGAATCATTATAGTTTGGAGGCAGGCAATTCAGCCCATCGAGTACACACCACCCCACTGAAGAGCATTCCACTCAGACCCACCCTTCCACCCTATACCTGTAACCCTACATTTCCCACAGCTAATCCACCTAGCCTACACATCCCTAACACTACGGGCAATTTCACATGGCCAGTCCACCTAACCTGCACATCTTTGGATTGTGGAAGGAAATTCACACAGGCACAGGGAGAATGTGCAAATTCCACACAAACAGTCACCCGAGGCTCGAATAGAACCCAGGCCCCAGGTATTGTGAGGCAGCATTGCTAACCACCAAGCCATTGTGCTGCTCTTAAAGGATGAGACCAGGTAAATACAGAGATTTTGTTTCTATTTGAAGGGTAGATCAACAACAGGGGCCATTGATAATGTGATTATCAACCTCGTCAAAAACTAGTTTACACTAAGTTTAGAAAGTTAACTTGCTACTGTAGTGTTCAATGGTTTAATTGATCTGTATTTGATGATGTGATAAGCTAATCTGTGCCTCTGATTGGTGAAGCTAGATTTTGATTCAAAGCAATATAAACATATCATTAAAGGTACTAGAAGGTAGAATCATAGTGGGAGAGCAGACATGTTGCGATTGCAGAGATAGTTTAAAACTCTAGTAAAACATGCCAATTGTACACTTACAAACTAATGTCCTCTGAGAGACATGAACTATTGAATAATCATTACAAAGAGTAACTGAAGTAAATAACAGAGAAATGGAGGGATGGCATCGTGGATCAGTGGTTAGCACTGCAGCCTCACAGCGCCAAGGACCTGTATTCTATTTCACCCTTGGGTTACTGTCTATGTGGAGTTTGCACTTTCTCCCCATGTCTACACGGGTTTCCTCTTCCAGTTCAAAGATGTGCACGTTAGGTGGACTGGCTGTGCTAAATTGCCCCATAATGTGCAGGCTGGGTGGATTAGCCATGGAAATGCAAGATTGTAGGTGGGTTGGGTGCTCTTCAGAGGGGTGGTATGGATTTGATGAGCATATGGCATGCTTCTATACTGTAGGGATTCTATGATTCTTTCAGCGGAAGTTGGATAAGCACAAGGAAATAAAAGCATCCCAGGATGTGTTGTTATGATTAGAGAAAGACGAGTAGATTTTGTCTCAAATGTAACCAACAGTAGTAGGGCTGAAACTTTTTCTTTGCTGTAAATTCTGTGCAATTACTTAATATTGTTCTAACCTCAGCCTACTATCAACTCTACAGCAAGCTACACTGGAGTGTAATCAGAAAAGAGGAATATAAAACTTGCATCACGCAGTTCCTGTCATCCCGTGAAGATATTCTAAATTGCTTCACAACCCATGCTGTAGTTTTAACTTGTGAGAGCAGGTTTAAATTGTCCACCCATTTTACACCTCTCCCGATTCTATTTTCCATTAGACTCAGGATCATTAAAAAAAGAAGAGTTCATTGTTATTGTCTCCCTTTTGTTTCTCTATTTATCGGTCTTGTTCCCTTTCTCCCTACCTCATCTTCTCCTCACCTTCCTGTTAGCCAGTCATACCTCCTTTTGTTTCTCACCCTCAGATTCTTTAACCTTCACAGATCCCTTCTCTCACACAACACAAAGGAGAAGAAATGAGCCATTCAGCCCATCAAGTCTCTAACATTCAATGAGATCATGGCTGATCTCAATAATAATGCACTCCATCTTCCTGCCTTTTCCCTATAACCCTTATTTCCCTTAATGATGAAAAAGCTGTCCATCTCAGCCTCGAATATACTGAATGAGCCTGCCTTGACAGTCCTTGTGGCAAAGAATTCCATAGGTTTTTCACAGGTCTGAGAGAAGAAATTCCTCCTCAGCTCTGTCTTAAATGGTTGACTCCTTACTCTGAGCTTATGCCCTCTGGTCTGAGACTCTCCCACAAAAGGGAGTCAACCTTTCAGTGTCTACCTTGTCAAGTCACCGAAGAATCTTGTATATTCCAATATGCTTGCCTCTCATTTTTCTACATCCCAATGGGTAAAGCCCAACCTATTCAAACTCTCCTCATAAGTCCTTCAATACCTGGAATCAACAAAGTTAACCTTCTCTGGACTGCCCCAACTCTTTACTATATCCCCACCTTCCTATTCTGCTGCTGCTATCTCTGGATTGACTCCATTTTGTCAAACTCATCATTTTCCTTTGCGCATCTTTCCTGCATTCTTCAATCAGTTCATTAAACTATCCGTCAAGACCTGTCTTCTCGGCTTGCTATCCTTCACACCCAATGCACCAATTGTGGATTCACTCTTCCAAAATCCCTCGCATCCCCAACTACTGGTGATCACTGAACTCTACAACGCAAGCAAAAACAACCACCGCTCTTTGTATCTTCCTCCAGAATGTCCATAAATGAGGAATCTGGGTCACCTTATTTATGATCTAGCTCATAACTTGAGTAGAATTTCACAACTGAAAGTGTCTTGCCTTCATCTTTGTGTACCAGAGATGTCTCCATTGGTAATACACTCACCTCTGAATTACAAAGTTGGGAGATTAGGTCCCATTCTAGGGTTTGAGCATTAAAACTAAGACTAACGCTTCAGTGCAGTTCTAATGGAACAAAGCACTTTAAGAAATGCTGTCTTTTGGATGAGGTATTAAAACAAGGCCCCACCTGCTTGCTTGGGTGAATGCAAAATATCACATTCTCCTTGAAATAAAGATCAGAGATTTCCTAAGTGGGTGATTGAATCAAGCGAGGTAATTTTGTCACGTTACATCTACAGAAATGTTAACGGGATAAAAATTTTATTTGATGTGACAGTTTACATATCGAAACATTCAAAACCATCAATACACATCAGGCAATGAATAGACCGGTTGTACTGTAATGGTTTATGTTGATGTAAAACAATTAGAGTTATGCATTGATTAGGCATCTGTAGCATACCAAGCTGCTCAAAATCAAAGGTCGGTATGAATTGAAACTCTTCAATAAGTAGTCTCGCACTTTATTGGCTTTGGACAGTATGCAATACAACTGCAAAAGGTGCATTGATAAGGCTGGCTGCTTTTAAAAATGTTTAACAAGGAACTAATTGACTGATGGCGACCAGCAATAGATTGCTCTACTGTTAGTGGCTTCCTCACAGATTACAGCCACTCCACTTATACTTGTTGTAATGACATGATGACACGACAGTTATAACGTTGCTACTCCACATGCACCGTCTATGAAGTCATCAAGACCAGTTCACACATGGTGGTCAGGCTAGTGCAAGCCATTTACATGAGGTAAATAAGGTAGAGCAATGTCATTTGCAAGGCTGCGCCTGGGGTATAAATGCAACTTTAGAGAAACACAGAACAAACATATTCTAAACTGTCACGCCTAAACAGGAGACAAATAAAGCATTTCAAATGTAAAGTATTCAAAGTGCACAGAACATGATAGGACAGTCCTCAGCCCTTCCACTGACTGCACTATTATTTAGCAGCCGCTTGTTCAAGGAGATGCCTCTATCTGTTTGTCATTACCAGAGACATCAATTACAGAGGTGTCATTTGAAATGTACTAAACTCTCCTGCCAATCAGCGCAGTTTGAGCTGGACCAACCAATGCAAGGTATCAGCTGATATCAGATCATGGGGCAGTTTGAATTAAAGTTATTAGAAACTACAAGAGACAGTCCGAAAATGGAGACATCATGGAGCTTTAATCAGCTGATAGAAGCTACCCACAATTTCCACTATCCACTTGCCTCCTGCAGGCAATCATAGTTTGAGATGTTGGAAGCTGCATGAAGTCACCATCAGCTGTTCACAGTGTAACAATGAGAATTAGGAACAGTCAAAGGATAAGAGGAGAA